AATGTTGGCAATCTCTGGATAAGGCCATATTCCCATGAGCCTGAGAGGGCTTTCCCTTATATCTATAGCATCAATACCTACAAGGAAAAAAATGTTTAAACATTATTAAAGTCAAAGGAGATTAACACAGAAGCATTCCTGCTGGCTTTTCAGTAATTTGACAGTAGTATATATTTAAAATGATGGTTTCTTTACTGTCTCTTTATGTCCTTTTCTAATATATTACGTTTAAAAACAATTGTTCACATTTCATTTTTTAATATGTGGGCAGATGCATGGAATTCATCTCATGCATGACTAATAAATTACTTTGGAAGAAAAGCTGTACAATTTGCTACAGAAATATATTCTGTAATATTCTAGACCAGTGGTTCCCAAAGTGGGTGGTACCGCCCCCCTGGTGGGTGGTGGGACGACTTAGGGGGGCACTAAGAGGCAAGGGGGGTGGCAGGGGGTGCTAAGAGGCAAGCGCGGTGGCAGAGGAGTGCTGGAGGTGTTCTGTGCTGTACTCTTGACTCGCCTAGCTTAGCGCGCAGGTGCAGAAGGGAATGTGATGGGACCGAAAGCGAGAGTCCTTCCCCGCGCGGCTGGTGTGGAGGTGGCAGCTCAGTCTCTCCTCACCAGGAACCGGTGATATCCACGCATGCGCAAGGAAGATGTCTGCCTGAGCTCTTCCGCTCTGGCTCAAAGAGGAAAAATGGCCAAAAAGAAATGGAGCTGAGGTTTGGAAATCGATCTAAGGTGAAAATAAGGCATTAGCAATGTAAGGGGGGTCTGGAGAAGCAGCCAACGGGAAGAAACATTGTTTTCTGAGGTTGCTGCTCTCGGAAGATGCAACCCTGCCGCCATTCCACCTATTCCAGCCACCGCAGCCCGGCCCTGCTGTTCGGTGGAGCTACTGACCCTGCTGCCATCCCACCTGCTTCGATCGCCGCGACTGCCGCCCCATCTGTTCCGGCCACCGTGGCTGGCTCTGCTGCTTTGGGGGAGCCGCCGACCCTGCCGCCATTCCACCCACCCCGGCTGCCGATCCTGCTGCCATTCTGCCTGTTCCAGCCGCCGCGACAATCGCTCCATCTGTTCCGGCCGCCATCCCACCTACTCCGGCACTGTTGCTTCGAGTGAGCTGCTCACCCTGCTGCCGTCCCACCTACTCCGGCCGCCGCGACCGCCATTTCATCTATGCCAGCCACCATGACCTGACCCTGCTGCTTTGGGGGACCCACAGTCCCTGCCGTCGCCCCACCTGCTCCGGCCACCATGGCTGCTATTCTACCCATCTGGCCACCGCGGCCCGGCCCTGCTGCTTCAGGGGGGGGCTATGTTTGTGCCGCTGTGCCTGCCTTGTTGCCCGTGGAGCTGGTGAGTTCCATGCCAGTGTGCCTGGAGACTGGTGGCTGGCTTCCTTGCCGCCGCCATTGCTGTCCTGGACGCACCCCCATCCCTCTCCCCCCCTTCTTTCTTCCACCGCGGCCTTTGGACATCACCACCGCTGACCGTCCCGAGCGTCGTGGGACCTTTTCTGCCTGTCGCCCCCGCAGAGAGAGGCGAGAGAGGACAGGGTCAAGGAGAATGGGGAGTCTGCTCTCTCCAACTAGTGCCAACTCTCCCAGCTGCCTCAGACTTTTTTTTCACACCATTTCCAGACTATGCGAGAGAAAGAACGAGGAACCCCTCACTCCCAAACTATTGCCAGCCCTAGCCACCTCAGACTTGCGCTGACCGCTCCTGTTTTCGCGGACTTAAGAACTGCGTTTTAATTAGTGTGTTGACTGTATGATGGTATGATTGTGAGAGAGGACGCGCCCACTTTTTAATCTAATTAATTTAATTAATTTTGTATCACTATATTGTATTTTTAATGATATTGTGGGGTGTGTCTGAGGAGAATGTTTGCTTAGTGAGTATGATAGGACTGGGGGTGCGACCTGGAGCCCCCTCCACTGAGTACAGAAGCAGAAGTGGATGGGGCCTGGATCCGCCCCCCGTCCTAGAGTGAATGCTGTATATGGCCTGCCGGGAAGAATGGGGGCCATGGGAGGGGGGAGGTCTACGGGGAGGGGGGAGGGTCGGAGCATTCCGGTTACGACCGGGAGGGGCAGATATGACGGGAGCTGTAGGGCTAGCCAATACTGGAGAAGAAGGACTCGCTACATTACAGCGATTCCTTGTTCCGGCCCCTCAGGCTCATCTCAAGGACCTGTTGGCAGAGGAGA